TGATATTATAATAGCAGTGAGGAAATTGCTACCATAAAGTAAAAGTTAAACCTTTTAGTAGTCTTAGTTTTCTAATAGTCTCTAGTAAACAGCAGCAGAAATAATTGCAACGGTTTTGTTCTAGCTCTACTCCCGAGATGATAACAGGAGTAAACCAGATTGGATGTCAAACGCAAACAACACAGAACTGTACTAAATGCTTAGCTGACTACCAAATTATTATTTTGACATCTGCAAGGAAACTTTTGTCAGACACAATTTTTATAAACCCGAGGTTATGTTTCTCTTTCAGAGGTATGAAGTCAATGCCTATTTTCATTATAACTTTCACAGGTAAGTATGTAATCTCAGTATTTAGGCATTTGCATTTTTCCAACTCCATATAATTAGCAAGACAAAAGACTTTTTTGCCTATCCAGATATTTTTACTTCATTCTGTTATGGAGGTGGAGCAGAAACTGGGAGTCAGGTGTGGGAAGGTGTGTGGAAGAGTATAAACTCTGAGGTTTTGACCAACTGCGCTGAGAAACTGCTAACGGGTTTGTGGTGTGCTCAAGTGGGTACAGCTAAGCAGGAGAATGAAGTTTTTGAAATAAACATTTATAATAATTGGTCAGTCTGCAGCAGAAACAAGGGTCACTGAACAAGTAGTTGGCAGGAATTCAAAATGTGAGTAAAGTAATTATTTGTGTAGTGGATTATATACAATCTCTTTCTAGGCAGAGGTCTGACTTGAACATTTATAAATTAAATAGTCAGAGAAAGCATCTTTTAGGAAGTCTTAGAAGTGTTTGATGTAGCATAAGTAGAGTCAGAAGTCTAAGCTAAAAAAAAGTACAGAAATACAAGACTTCATTTAATTGCAGTTTAGCAGTCAGCTTCATAAAACATTATGTTTAATTTCCTTCGTAGTGTTCTTAGATAAAATACTTAATGTTAATTGGAAGCATATGGGAAGGGTGTATGCACACATGCACATCTAAAGTTCTACAAATGGGGAATTTCATATTATGTTATTTAGAGGCTGTTGACCTGTAAAGACATGCTCCTGATATTCTTAATGACATCATAGGCAAATTATGGCTTTTGCACCACTCCGCCTATTTACAAGAATTTCTAGTAGAGGTTTCTATAAGCACAGTAACTCACCTACCTACAGTAAACTCAAGAATTAGCATTTATTTACTCTAACTCATCAAAAGCACTGACATGTGCCAGAAATTGCAGCAAAAATTCTTATGAACCAGGAAATTAATTCTATGCCTCCTGTACATGATAATAATCTTTCTAAAAGAAAAATAATACCATTCATCTAATATGACTGGATAAAAGAGTTATCTAAATTGCTAATTCTAAGTAGCTGAAATATCTACAGTTATTGAAAATTTTAACATTTATTGTATTATAACATTAAGTAGATACATATTTTCAGGTTACAAGGTGAAGCAGCTGACAGCCAAAGTATACTGTAAACACACAGCTCACCATGTCACAGAATATTGAAGAACAGAGAATTAAGTCAAGTCTACCTGCAGATTAAGAATACTAAACACTTTGAGGCCAGTAAGCATACAGAGCTCTGCTTTAAATAAGGTGCTCTAGGTTCTGAATCAAAATGCTTTAAGGAAGCCGTTTCTGCTCCTGATCTCACTATCATGCTCTTCAGCATATGAAGATAAACTTCCCTAGGCAGCAAATCTTCTGGACTTGTTGACACATTTAAATACTTATTTACTGTATAAAGTAAGATTCCATCTGGTAGAGAATGAAAGGCTAAGGGAGAAAAAGTGCAATCAGGGGCTTTAAATGGTCTGAGAAGGAGCCCCTTGGCCAGACTGTGTCAAGGTATGTTCTTCTAAAGGGAAGGTGTACAACACTCCTCTTCAGTTATCATCTGAAATTCCTGCAGTGGCTTGAATGGCTTCTGTTTTCACTCTTCTGTGTAACAAAGGATTATAAAAGCCACACTGTTATATGAGTTTTCTGGCTGTCATTTGTTGCTTGTTTTTGCTTTTTCCCTGAAATACAAAACATTAGAAGCTTGCAGTCTGCATCATGAAAATGTCTTCATACAGAGACCAGAAGCTCCAGCCAAGACAGAAATGGACGTGATTCACTTTTACAAGTAAGTCCAGTTTCAGTGAGCTTGTGTTTTTATACACTTGGGCATCAATAAACTCAGTACCAATTCTAGGGATCAAGTTATTAATTTCAAATTAATCTCTGCCAGATATCTCCTTGTTTGCAGCATTGCTGCAATTGCAATGTAAAAAAAATAGAGCTGGATTTTTACTTGCCAAGCAGAAAGCAGGGCTTGACCATAGGGCTATATGGACCAAATGAAAGTTAGGTATTATTTTCATTTTATTCAAAACATGCAAGCCTCTATCGCAGCACTGGGGGGTAATATTAGGTTAGCAAGGTCTAGGCAAGACTACAGAGTAGAAAACCCAGAGAAAGGCCTTTTCATTCAAGCTTCCACAATGCCTGCCTTTTCTTACTGGGCATTCAAATAAGGATTTTCACTTCTCTTCAAGCACAATGAACTCCACTATCCTATAGAACAGTCTGCATTTAAAAAAAAAAAAAAAAATCTAACAAACCAACAACAAAAATATGCCAAGGCATATGAGGTTAAATGTATATTGAATTCCGCATTCTATTAAACGTTTAAAATGTCTATTATGTGAAAAGGTGAAATGCTAACAGAAAATAAGAGCCCATTTAATGAAGAACCTACTGTGCAGCTTTTAGATGCTGCCCAGATAATCACCTAAATGAAATCCAGAGTTTTTACAGAAATAATGATCTGATTCAAGATGATAACTAGCATCCTTGACTGGCAAAATAAAGTAAAACTGTGATGAAATCACATGTATACACTAGTGAACTCTGTAGGCCTATGAACTCTATCTGCAAGAACAGATTCAGCTTCTTAACTCACACCATGTCTTGAGTTCAGTGTAGATATTTTACCATATATGACTTTAAAAACTGGGTAATTTGGCTTCTTAGATACTTGGTTTTGTTAACAGCTCCCATCCCTAAAATGAAACAATTACCTTAAATGCCAATTTGAAAAAAAATATTCCTAAATCAGATTATCTATGGCAGTCCCATTTACCTGTCTCTCTCCCCACCCACATACAAACATAGTTCTACTTTGATATCTGTGCATCAGCAAAATTAATCCTTTTCTGTAATGACTGATGTTCATACTACAAACTAAGCAGAGATCTGCTCTGAAGAATTCAACTCTTCACAGTTTCCCCATCCAATATTCTTAATATTGACGAGTCAGTGATTCCCAATTGACTAGTGAATAATTAAAATTAAACCATCAGGAAACCTGATGAATAGTCATCTGAGCACATATCTAATAATTTAACTTGCTTCTTTTAAATGCAAGTATTTTAGCACTGTCTTGTCCTGCGGTCACAATAGTCATGAGGTTGGCACCAACTTAACGCTCCATTTTATTTTGATACACCACAAACTACAACTGTTCTTACATATAGTCATATATATATATATATATATAAAAATATTCTTAACTACTCCTAAATAAGCATAAACCCTATTTCCTGGAGCTCCTGTACTGAATGTCACTAATGATCAGTTATTTACATTTGTTTGTTTAATGGAACCATTCCAGGGGCAGCTGAAAGGAAATGCTTCAACCCAAGAGCCTGGTAACAGAGAACTTACAGAACAAACAACAGCAGCAGCTTAGACCCTATAGAAATGGAAGTCTGCACAAACTGATGGAGGTCTCTAGCAGTAGAAACTCAGAGGCAATATGTGTGACATCAAGTAATGATCAAAACATTTGCTCTGCTAAGTATCCTTTGGTATTTCTAGGGGCAAAACGGTTCCCAAAGTGCATAATCATAATCAGAGATAAGATTCAGAGCAAATATTCATAATTATATCACAGAGAAGTTCTGCTAAATCCCTGGCCATGACTGATGAGTGACTTTCCAACAAAGCAAACAAACTTTCTCTTTAAAGAAAGCAGACAGTGGAAACTTGCTTTCCCATAACCAGCTCAAATTTCTACCCATCACATAGGGGAAACAGGTAGTGCCTGAGCCAATGCATCTAGTCCTGTCAGCACTGAAGGTAACCCTATTTCCTTCAACAGGTGAGCACTATATAGAATCTGTGGAATGCCTTTAGAAACTAATATTCAAAATCTTTCCAGAAAAAAATAGTAGTGCAATTTCCTTGTTTCCAAAGCAAAATATGTAACGTGTATTTATCTATAATATCCTGCCAGATTTCAGAGCAGAAACAAAAAACATACTTAAAATGAGACATGGAAGTTTAAGGGGTTTAGAACACACCAGTTTCTCTCTGAGAGACTGCAGATCTGAAATTTACTGATCTTTCTGCAGATTAACTGATCGTTAGCACCAAAATTCTACACTAAAAATTGCATTTAAGAGGAGCAAATTAGGCACAGCAGGTGAATAGTGGCCCCTGCAAACAGTTCTTCAATCAGTTTTTTGCATGACTGAGCACCAAAACAACTGAGAAAAACACCAGAGATGTAGCATCCTTCTAATTAGCTTAATAAAGACTTCTTCTACCTGTGCTCTCAAAGGTAAAGTATCAAAACCTCCTATGGAACTGCAATAATGTACTTACCTATACATGCTGACAGGAACGATGAAACAGCTCCAGCAATGCTGATTCTGAAGATAACATTTACAAAATCATATCAGAGCTATCAAAGTGTTAACCTGAAAGGACTTACCTGCTTTTCAGTTTGGATACTAGCTCTCACTGGTTACCTTTTCAATGAGGTGATTGAACCTTATAGAGAGTCTGACATAAATCTAAATACCATCATATACGAGAGTGATAGACTGTATGAGCACAAATACATTCCGAGCTTTGAGATAACTCTCCCGCTTGCTAATTAGTCATTTTAACAAGCAGATGGAAACAATCTTTCCCAGGAAACAGAACAAAAGCCAAGGAGAGAAGTTACTCACATTCCTTTGAGCCGTTGCCACATTTTGTCTGCGTGTCCTCCAATTTGATACTTTATAGAGGTGCTTTCCAGCTCCCGAGTTGTTTCTGTCGCTCGAGCCCCCATCGTTATTGTCCTACAGCAATACAGTTACAGTCAGGCTCAGTAGCATGTAAAAGCATTCTTTAGTCCACAAATGTCAGAAGATCCATACATGTTAGACAGTAGCTGCTTTCATATCAAAACGCATCAGAATTACAACAGCTGAGGGACAGTCCTGCCTGAATTGCTATTCACTTAGACAGACAAACCCACCTTCCACCCCCCTGCAAGCACAGAGCAAGTACACACAGCTCCTCTGACCTCGCCAGTCTAATCCATATGGGTGAGCCAGCTACCGTACTACTGACTGCTCAGGCTCCTTTCTCATGCACTTTTTCTGCTGTAGGAATACGCAGAGAAGCACAAAAGATTCCTTAAAATGGACTATAATTCATTGCCATGCAGAATAAATGTGAATGGCTTTAACAATCCAGAAGAAAAGAAAGGCTGGTTTCTGCTCTGCAGGTTGGAGAAACAGGCTGCAATAGGAAAGCAGATGGTAGAAGCCAGTATCAGCCACATCACCCTACAAAAAGAGTGCATGTTCAAATGCCAGAGCTTTCCTCTCTTTAGTTGATCCTGAATTTACTCTTAGTTAATAAATATCTACCAGCCTCTGAATAAAAATATGACTGCACAAACGCTGTCGGTAGTGAAGACATGTAGAAATCCCTGCAGAAGAGAAATCAGAGAGATCTACAGGTTGTTATTGAAGTAATATGCTGTAATGATGACTATTCACCTTCTCCTAGCAACTCCACACAGTAGGTAACTGTCAATTTAACTGGTGGAAAATGCAGCAGCTGCAAGGCAGCCTGCTCAAGCGAATCGTTCAGGACAGCAGCATGTATGTGTCAAAATCTGATGCTGAACTCTGTGTCTGCCAGCAAAAACCAATTAAGCACATGCAACAAGCAAAAAGGTTGATGACTAAACAATATGCAGCCATGCAGCAGATTCCCAGCTCTGCCTTTCCAGTGCAAACCTAAGAACCTACTTGTAAAGCCAAAGGTGGGTTTTGGAGAGGGCAAAGGAGATGATTTCCATGCTGCTTGCTCAGCCACAGACGGGTTTGCAAAGCAGCACCTGTACTCTGTAAATAGTACCTGTCTTGTTTGGTGAGTCCTTAACAATCTTCATCTCTGAAGCAGCAGCAAAATAATCAAATATAGCAGATTATCTCAGTGATTGTGTTTGCTTCAGAGTAAGAGCTGTGCAAGAAGCTAGGCAAGAGGGTTGTGTAGGAGCAAATACACCTGACCTTTGCCAGCTACTGGTGTCACTGCCAGCCAGGAAAAGGGGCTCTGGGTCCTCAGTGGAACAGTGAGGATGAATGTCTTCACATGCTGACTGGAAGGAGCCTAAAGATAGGAGATGCATATCTCAATCTGGCTTTAACTAGGCAGCTTTATCTGTGTTAAATTTTAAAATTATGTGAGATGATGAGAGGTTTCCATCTGATGAAACTGGCAACAATGGATAACATCAGTAGGTATTCAGGATATTACAGAAAAATCAAGAAGAGGCTCACTGCTTTGAATAATCCTAACACTTCAGAATTTCTTAATCTATTTTCTTTTTCTAGGATACCCTTTATGCACATTATAGATTTAAAATATACCCTATGAGAGTTATAAACCAGTTTGAGATGTATCTTCTACACACTGGCTTCAGGTGGATAATTAAATAGTACATTTCATTTACTTCTATGGATTTAACACATACAGTTTTAAACTGTTATTAAATTCATTGGCTTTCACAGAATTATTCCTGAATCACACATGTTAGTGCCAGTCCCATAAAATTCATAGAAATACCTGAAAAACAGTCACTGGATGAGTGAAATCTCTTAAATTTTTCCACATCACAAGACAACAGTAAAGAAATACAGCCACTCATTCAAAAAACTGCAAAGTATCTATTTGATTAACCACAGCACTAGTAATCGTTGAAACTTCACTGAGGAACCACTTAAAAACTTCCAAACAAATGTTATGCATGGAGTTCAACTAAAGTGGAAAGTGTATAAATATCCTTCCATGGAATAACTAATGAGAATGTCTCACACTAATCTGGATTCTTCCCTGCCTTTTAACTGTCAGACATCTGAAGCAATGCAAAGAAAATAAGTATTTATAGAAACCACATAAGCCTCCAGGAATAGAGGGGAATTTGAAGGGGTTATTTTTTTCTCATAAAGTATTCCTGACTCTTGTTGTCCAATCCTAAAATGAAAAAATAGTGCTGTTTTTAAGCTATTATATCTCCCTCACAATGAAATAAGTAATTGAAAATACATTGCTTTAATTTACTGGAGAAAAATATTATGAGCAGGTAATATCCCTCAGGAAGGAAAGAAAGAACAAACAGCCCAAACAGTATCACTGCAAATTGAAATACACCTGTGTCATGCTTTAACTTCACCCGAACTCCAAGAAGGAAAACTGCAAAAGCTTTACTCCCTGCAGGACCACACTACTCCAACAATAGAAATTCCTATATCGAAAGCAGCTGCCATGGCTAAAGCAAAGGACAAACAAATCGGCCTGCTCCCCATAATTTTATCCTAGAAATCAATGCAGCAGACTACCTGAGACAATATTGAAGGATGAAACTGTGTCTCTGAAAATGAAATAATAGCAGGAAACATAAAAATTTATAGATAAGGCATTAGAAAAAAAAAAAAATCAAGGAAGCAGCCAGAGAAAGTGTCCCTAGGGCGAAAGAAACAAATATTTGAGAACAAACAAACAACTTTTAGGCATGCTGCTGTCTTAAAAACATGAGCAAATAAATCCTCTTGGAGACATGGTGAAAGGAAGGACCCTTCCTCCCTTTAGCTGCTATGAATAATGCTCAGAGAATGAAGCAGCTGAGCCTGCACCCTTACTCCCATCCAGAGGAAGGCAGGCACAGAGGCTGAAAAAGATGGAGCCAAAACAGTGCCAAGACCCTTCTGGCTGCCAGAGGTGGCACGGGGCAGAAAGGATGGGCATGTGCTGCTGGAATACAGAACAACCGTACATTACAGCCAGTATGTAACAACGAGGGGATCAGGAGAGGCATTACAAGACAACCTGACTTGCTCAGAAATACAAATCTATCCCCATGCAGTATAAACTGGTCTAAAGAAGATTCAGAACATTAAACAGTGAACAGCTACATCAGGAAATCAAATCAAGTAGGCAGATAGCACCTCAAATGATAAATTATCTTAAACCATGTTTCTCTTCCCGTTTCCTGTTCCAGTTTTCTGTTCTTGCCCTGCCTAACTTGGTGTTTCTGCTAGTTTCAACAAGTTGTTACAGTCTATCTTCCTATATAGACATATAATCATTTTTGCCCTTAACTAATAGCTTTTCTTTTTATTTTATTTTCTTTTTTTTTTTAATTTCAGCATAAAATTTCCATGCTAATGTGAACACTAAAGGAAGCTATTTATCAATATGGAGATAAACATTTTCACCCTTAGTTATGGCAAAATGAAACTTTCCTGGTGCCACAATCTTCAGATAGGAAGCTACACTTAAGGATAGTGTATCCCAAGTTCCTTATCTTTCATCTAAAAATACTTCACTCGGTAGTATTATTGACTCAAAGACATAATTTTAAAATACAACCAACAGTAAAGAAATCAGGTTGACTTTTCAATATTGAATACTGAGATGCCTTTACAATTATACCAAAAATCACATAGTTACAATGAGATCAACTTACATTAAATTGGGAAAATCCTGCAGCTAGACCACTTGAAGATTAGCTTTAGAAGCAGGAAAGGGATGATGCAGGGTTTGATGAAGAAAATTAGAGCTTTAATTTAAATAAATCCTCTGCTCCTGAAGGGAAATGAAATAGGCTGCTTTGTTTGAAATTATCTTCAAAACATCTAGCTCATGACAAATGGAGAAAAAGGACGTCTCGAGAGGCCTGCAGGGTGACTTGTCAGAGTAATAGTCATTCCTCCAAGCCTGATAACACAATCCTCCCTGTGGTGGAACTGCAGGAGAGCTATGAACCAATTAAGATATTTGAACATGTGGCAGGGGAACAAACAAACAACAACAACAAAAATACACACACAAAAAAAACCCCACAAACAACCACACCAAAACAAAATCAAATCAACAAACCCTCAAAAAAAATAAATGTATTGTAAGTATTGATAGCAGATCTTAGATTTGCCAGGCAAGGCAGAGTTCAATAGCATTGTAAATAATAGAGTTAAAACTCTGAAGAAATGCCTGCCAGTGGACTCAGGTGTTACATGGTACTTTGTGAACAGAACCTCAGTTAGGGTTCCCACCACTCAAACTCTGCCCTTGCAGAAAAAGAATGGTTTGCTAGACAGTGTACTCCATATCTCCTTCTGCCCTCCCCATTGTTTATTAAATTTGCAGTTGTGAAGTGATGTGCAATCCCTTTCTTCAGAAGCAGTTTCCAGCTTGCTTACAATGCCCAAATGTATGAACTGTTAATCAAGAAGATGAGTAGCAAAGGAAAAAATTAATATTTGGTATTATTAAAGTTAATGGATTTTATTTAAATACATATGTCTCCAGCAATCTGGCAATGGCAAAATATTGATTTAAGAGTAATCTTGGATTTTTAGAGTGTCTATAGAATATATTTAAAAAATAGTAGAGTTACATAATTCAGGAACAGCAACTTTAAAGATTTACACATATGGTCTACACAGTGTATAGGCACTGACTCACATAAGTAGGAAATAGAGTTGGGATTGACATATTAGTGATTAGATGATCTACATAAGGCAATCCAAGAAGGAACATTTTCTTTGTTTTGTTGTGGGTTCTTTTTTAATTTTAGTATTTTCTGCTGCATCTGATTTACTGAAATTGAGGCTTCTTCATATAATCACTAAACTATGTATTTATGCGTCCTACAATTACCAAGCTTTACATATAGCAAGGAGAAAAAATATCTTCCAATTGTTGGTAATGAACATGGAGTCAGATTTATCAATGCTTTTGGGTACTTAAAAATGAAAACAAATATCCATGAAA